AACAACTCTTCCGAAGAAACTTTCGACTTTCGTATTTATTGTAAATATTTAAGAAATTCTACAAAGCATAGAAAAAATTACCTTTAAAAAGAATATGTACGCTTCTCATAGTCTGCGTTCGTTTTGAAAATTTTTAAAAACCACAATACAACTTTGCATTTTCTTTTTTTTTTTTCATGTATCTTAACCACTTGCGCTGGCAACTGATTGCGGACCACAACGAGTGACCAAAACCGTACACAGTAATTTCTCGCTTTCTTTGTGAACTCGTCGGTATGATATGTAGAAATTATGGATAGAAATTATTGAGAAGGTTATAAATTTATTATTTGTTTCGTCTGAGTTATACTTAAATATACTGAAAACTGAGGAAATATTGCAATTTTGCAACAAAAAGTTCAGCGCAAGAGGTTGGCACAGACATTATTAGACAGCGATGCAACGAAGAAGCTACGCCATATACCGATAAAATAGCTGTCAACAATAAAAATCGTTTATCTGTGACAGATTCGAAAATACTCTGAATTATAAAAGATTCGTATAGTTTTCATCAATTGTGGTGCATGTTTCATACCAGTTTCGTACATATTATTTTATATTCCCGATAACGCGTACAGTCAAGATTTCCTTAATGGGTTATCTCAGTAGGAAAAGAGAATTACTCCGTTATTAGCACGATTCGTCTTTACATTATAGAATCATCCTTTCGATCGGTTGTCCACGGTACGCGGGACACAGCCTGTATATAGAACGAAGTTTTTCGGCATCGTTCGCCGACGAGTCTTTGACTCGTAGAAAGACGGCTATGAAGATCAGTGGAGTATGTCGCCTAGCAATCGTCGAGTGCACTTGACTAACGCTCGCTTTAGTGGATCTCTCGCGGAAGGCGTGTGTGTTGGTACGCAAGCCGCGTGTACACACCGTACGTAACACGTTCGTGTGGCTCGATGAAGCGTAACCTAATACAATATTTTTTCTCGCTTTGCATACACGTAACTCGTTGAAAATTCCACGTACTCGCGCGGGGATCACGAAGACGGCGTGCCGTTTCGCCAGGCTTTCTCGCCGACCTTTTTTTTTTTTTTTTTTTTTTTTTTCAGCGAGTCGAAAACCGCATAATTTCGTTTATTGACTCTGCTCTGTTCTCCTCCTGTTGGTGTTTCACCAAAGTGTCGTCAAAATGGTTTGGGTTAGGTTTGGGTTAACTTGTAGAAGTTTTGCTGAGATGATTTTTGACGCACGTCGAGACTCTTTTGTCCCAAAATTGCAACATTTTCTTCAGTTTCAAGTATATTCGAGTATAACACAGGCGAAACAAATGATAAATTTATTCTTAATAATTTCTATCCAGTGATATCGTGCCGACGAGTTCGAATAGAAAGCGACGAATTATTTTATACGGTTCGGTCACTCGTTATGGTCCGCAATCAGTTGCCAGCGCAAGTGGTTAAAGACAGGACGAAAGTTAGTTTTACTTTCCGAATTTTCCAAATTAATTATTATAGTACTAATATCGACCATCTCGTTGCAACAAACAAAATTCTCTATCTATTGGGGATATTGAATGTCAATTGTACAGCGAAATTGGGAACTTCATAAATAATACAGTGAGAGGCTCGTTCATATTCCGAATGATATATATATATATATATATATATATATATATACGCTCGCGAGGTCATGCAGTAATTTTACCATCCATTTACGAATAAAATATCCCAGAGGAAGGAGAGATCCGAGAAGATACAAAGCAGTAGTAGAACAAAAGAGAAATGTCGAACAAAACGACCGCGTTCATACGTGGCCCACGCCGTAAGTTACAGTTCGGGGAAAAGAAAGAAAAAAAAGAAAATCAATTTGGCAGTAACTTGGTGATACTCGAGTCGAACAGTTGGTCACCGTCCAATAACCGGAAGCGGTGTGGCAACGGCGGTAAAAGAACGGCGGAATGTATCTTTGCTTCGTTTATCGTCGGGCGAAAGAGAGTCAAGAAGCATCTCTCGTCTTTCCGCATTCGCGATTAACGTCATCGTATCTCATCGATTATCAGCCGGCACGCGTTGGATAACGTGCAACTCTTATTCGTGTAATATTTTGTCTTCGTGTTCGGCAAAGCGATAACGATGTCTGATGTAATTGCGCGCTGCCCGGAACGCATTGAAAAATAAGCGGAAATAATCCCGTTCCCATGGGAACTTGCGATATACTTACCACAGGCAACGAACGAATTAAAAACGTGTTTTCGTCGAGATATTGATTTTTAGGCAGGGACGAAACAGAGGCAGAAAGATTGCCAAGAGATGAACGCGATAAGTCGAGTTTTATTCCCCTTTCTTTTTCATTTCGTACGTACAATTGCTCGCGAGAGTTTTCTTTTTGCAAATACGTTACATTTAACATGTTTAATTGTTACAAACTATCGTGATTATATTGGTTGAATTTAAACTAAATCTAGAAATATATATATATATATATATATATATATTAGATAAAAATTACAAGACATTCAACACATTTTTATATCTCGCAGAGATCATAAAAAATATTCAAACAGCCAGTATCATTCAATAATATAATTAAAATTGAAGAAATTATCGGTGGTATTAACGAGACGAAATTAGAGATTCTAAAATTAAAGAATATTAGTACGAAAGACTGAAATCGCCGGTGACAGTTAAACATTTCGAAAATCTAACAGTTAAACATTTCCCAACGCGCGTCGAAAATCTGGAAATTTCCACAAAAATCATCCCCCTCAGCGATAACCATGATATACCAGAGAGGCAGAACCACTTGTAGCTTCAAACGCGCGTTACACTCGGTATCTTCGAACTCGGATGCTCCAACAGGAGGAGCATGTAACCGTTTAAAAACCATACGTACGATAAACGGTATCGTTGGCGAGAGAAATATTGATATTCTGGATGGCTCACTATCGAGTAGGAGTGCATTGTGCGACCGACAGAGAATCGAGGATTGGCCTAGAACGGAAGAAGTCCGACCGGAGGAGTCATTGCACGAGCTTCTGGATTGTTCTTTTCGATCGTTTCGCACGCGAGGCGATCTCTCTCTCTCTCTCTCTCTCTCTCTCTCTCTCCTTCGTCCGCTTATTTTCCCTCTCTCTTCTTCCCACGCACGCGTGGGTCTCTTATCTCTGTCTGACAAATTGCTCTCGCTGTTATCAAACACTTTTCCCTCTTTTTCTTTCTTTCGTCTCCTTTCCCTTCACCCGGCGAGCGCGAATCTTGGCTCTTCTCCTCCTCGCTTTCGTTATTTCCGCGTGGTCGAGACACTTCCAACAACACGCGAGCGCAAGCTTTTCTGAAAAACTGTGTCGTCTCGGGGGACGAGACTCGGCCGAAGTTCCCCGCGAAAGGTTATCGACGCGATTACGTATTTCTTTCGTAGCAGTGGAGAGCCGCACGATAAGGCCTCACTTGTAAAATTCCAATTCTTTCGAAAATAATCGTCGCGCGCGTTTTTACTCTCGGAGTTTTTCGCTTTCCTCTTTCGCTTCTTGCCCCGTCCCACATACATACATATACTTATACTCCTCTCGTTGCTTTTCTTTTTTTGGGTTGCATTTTTGCGTGGACGAGAAAAAAAAAGAAATCGAGACGATGTCGTTTCAGTCCCGCTGGCTGAAAACATTTTGATAAGACGTAGAGTTCAATCTCGTCAGTTTTCCGTTCGCTAACTCGGAATAAGATAAAAATAATGGACAATTGAGAAATATATAGATACGGATCTCGTGTGATGGTTGTACCCTAGTTAACACTCACGCGGCGCTAGTGTCGCGTCACTGTGGCCATCGTGTAATGTTCAGAATCCCGTTAACTTCTGACACGAGACAAGTTGAAAAAGAATAATCGACGTTCGATTCTCCGTTACATTGTCCATATTCTTTTATCAGCCAATGACTCGTACTTCGTTCCTCTTTTTTTCCTTTTGATTCTTTTATCATCAGAAGCTCGGCGACGCAGTTGCATCGCATCTGCAACGCACCCGCAAAACAAACCCCAGCTAAATTCCAGAAAATCTTGACCAGCTGCGGGACGTCGTAAGAAACGTTGTACAGAAAGTTAACGAATAGGGGAATAATTCAGTATTAATCTCTTTCTCTTTATTTCTCACATTTCGGCCAACTTAGCCTCGTGCATTTGCCAGCTTTTATTAATTCTGTCCGCGATTTCCGTACGCTCGGCTTTTACATCCCGTATAAATAAATGAAATTAAGATTACTCCACCCGGTAGCCGTACGATCGAAGAGAAATTTAAATACTTTAAACATTATGTCAAACTATTACCTGCTCCTTAATGGGTTAATCAAACTTTTGCCAACTGTCTCCATTTATCTGAAACGTGAGCTCCCGTTATACGAGCGAAAGTAGCTAATAGTAAAAAAAAAAAAGAAAAAAAGAAAAAAAAGTGAGTAAACTGCAATTATATGTATAAACTGTTTGTCCCGCGACGAGTTTTCAGATAAACGCAGTTCCTACCCCGGTAATGTCGAAAAATAAAGGGAAATAAAAGAGGGGTCTGGCGCGGTGCACATTCTCGGTGCACTTTGATGGTGCACATAGTAGTGCACAGTGGCGTATCGTTTGTCGGGGGGGGGGGGGGGGGGATGCAGTGCCCATCGCCTCGCGAATCGCACATCCTATCCTCTATCGTGGCATATCGTATCGTATCGTATCGTCTGGTCTCGTATCGCGTATCGTATCGCGTCGTATCGTAGAAAGAAACGGTGGTGGGAGATGGTGGTTGGGCGAAGAGTAGGGGATCGTGTCGGCCTAAGAAGGGGCTGTCAAGGGGAGGAAAAAGCTAAAAGGAGGAGGGATACACATCGAACGAACGGAGGAAAAGGAGGCAGTGGCGGCGGCGATGGCGGCTGGTCGAGCAGGGGGTAGGCGAGACGGGGGAGGCCAGAAGAGACACAGGACGGTTCCGTGGCATTTGTAGCATTGTAGGTCGTTGCGTTTTATAACGTGACTCCTTAATTTCCGCGACTGGCGTCCGTGTTCGCGAAAATCGTCTTTTGTAATCATTTCGCTTCTTGTCGCCGCCGTGGTCGTCGTTGTCGTTCTATTGTCGCGTAGTCGTCGTCGTCGTCGTCGTGGTCGTGGTCCCGTGGTCCTCTTCATCCGCGGTGTGGCACGTTTGTCTTGGCTGTGTGTTCGCTCGTCGTTACGGATGCGAGCCTCCTTAAGCGGCGATGAAGCGTTTACGAGGACGCGGCTGGTACCCTTAATGGACCCGCGAGGCTTTTTTGCTCGAGCCTCCTTCGTTTTCCACAGTTTCTGACTCGATCGCGAACGAGACGGGACAAAGAGCGCTGAGCGCGCGTGGTCGACGCGTGGAAACGAGACTCGGTAATTGCATATAGTGTACCTGGTGCGTCTGTTGCCCGTTGTTTTTGTCGCGCCGTACCTTTTTCTGCGATTACGCGCAGCCTGCGTGTCACGTGTGTTTGTTTGTGCAGTTTGTGTATGCCTGCGTGTGTGTATGTGTGTGTCTGTGTGCTGGGGCATCGTGTACGCGCCGGGATGCTCGTTGAACTCGGGCTCTCGTTCCCTTGAACGTGTTCTCGACCGTGTCACGGTGCTCGGCTCGGTGCATCGTGACCGTGCTACCTACCTACCTCCGGCTAAACGACGCACCGAGCGAAAGAACCGTCATTTTTCCAAACTGAATGTCACTGCATTTTTGCCGCGTGTCTGGCGAACAGGTGGCAATTATTCTCCGTTGTCGCGGCGCACGTTCGATCGTCAGACGTGTTTCATTGGACACGTTTGTTACTATTGACGATAATTATCGCTATCGACGCGTAGCCAAATGAATTATTAACTGCTCTTCAATTTCCTCTTCGCAAAATTTTCTCACGATACGCGCGTCTTCTGTCTACGAGTTGTAGTTACATTTAACAACAATTATTATTGTTATTGTAGCATCGGTTATTACAATTAATCTGTAGTTATAATTTTAGTCATGTTTAAATGTAACAGATGGCCTGTTTGTTGATTCGTAGACGTACGATAAAATATGAATGCGACGCGAGTGGTCCAACGTAGGCGCGGAGTGCTTTTCTTTTTAAAAAGACCGAGTCGAGAGAGAGAGAGAGAGCATTCAGAAAGGGCTGTTAAAACTGTCAATTGTGTTGTTAAAAGAGTTCTTAATTCACGTCGATTGAATGTTGTTTGTCTTGTTCAATTATTCGTCGTTCTATCATCGTTACTCCTTTTAAATAAACATTATTTATATTACATCCCTACATTATCATTCGCGCAGGCAAACAGATCGTTTAGAATATTCCGCGCATTTCGCGAATCTTCGTTCGAACCTGTGTGTGTGTATGTGTGTGTTTGTGTGTACACACGTGGAAATCGCCGTGAGTGTCTTACAGTTGCAGTTCTTCCGGCTGCTCGGGCGCATCCCGAACGTGACCAAAATGCTCTCACCGTTCCCTTTCGCTTTTACTTCGGTGTCGTTTACTCGTCGCTGGCTCTTCTACCAAGATGAAAGCCAAGAAGAAGTTGTGGTGTGCTCGCAGGTAACACGACCTGTTCGGCTACGTGACTGCACCGGGGGTCACCACCCCTTTTGTTTTCCGCCTCGCCAGCGCTTTGGCGAAATTCTTCTTCGCGAAATTCTGCCGCGAAGACGACCGACTTTGCTCTCTCCAGTTGTTTTCCACGGCCTCGCCGGTCGCCGGCGCGACCGTTCAAAAGTTTGTCGTTTGTTCGAGTTTCTGCTGCTGAACGTGCCCGCGTTCGACGTGTTGTGACTCGCATGATTAACGCGCGTCGCTCCTTTCACCTGCGTGTCGCCAAGTGGCGCCTAATTGCACTCAATCACTTCATACGTCATCGTTGCACCGGTAATCTAACCTGTCGTTACCACTCGAGTGTTTCGGTCACCGAGCTCTCGTAAGAAACAAAGAATAACGATCCTTAATCTCTTTGTTTTTTTTTTTTTTTNTTTTTTAAGAAATGCGAATACAACCCATTGACGATCGTAAGAATTCTTAATTTCCACTTATGTTTGTCCAACGAAGACGTTGTTGACACGCTCTTGGTACCTTCCGTGAAACGAAAGTGTCTTCGTTTACTCGTTCACCGATCGACGAGTCTCGAAGGAGACAAATTTTCGGCAAATTCTCCTTGTTCGAATCTGTTTTTTCTTTTTTTTTTTTTGGTGACGCGATCGCAGACCGCGTGAGGTGATCCGGACGCGTTATGGCGCGCAATTGGCGAGCGCGGAAACGACTCTGCGCGCGTAATTATACTTCCCTTTGATGTACGCGTTCGGCGAGCGCCAGTCGGCAACACAATAGAGATAAAACAGGAAAAGAGGGGGGTGGGGTTGGAGGGGAAATAGAGAGGGAAATGATGGGTGTTTCGCGAGGGGGAGGACCAAAGGAGAGACGCGTTTGAGTTTTTCGAAAAGACCAAGTCTTTCTTTTCTGGTGGTGCGCCGGTGAAACGTTGGCGGGGTTTACGCTTTTGAGTCGACTTCTCTTTCCTCTCTCCTCCAGCTGCGAGGAAATATGCGCAATAAACCAAAAAGCTCGCCATTTTACGAATTTATCTTTCGCCCTTCCTCTTTCTTTTTTTTTTTTTTCTTCTCTTTCTCTCCTCGAGAAGTTTACGACCGACCCGCGCGAAATTTCGTTTTTATGTAACAGGTAATTTCGGGAATTTACCTTTCCCGATGGGCCGCGTGCTCTTGTTGTCTCTCTGTCTCTCTCTTTCTCTCTTTCGAGCAGGAACTTTTAAGGGAGCTGGGGACAGTTTGACAGGCCTAAAAATTACGAATACTTTGGAGAACTGGTAAAACAATAGTACATATTTGAGTGACATGAGCTTTTGTGGTTTGTTTTAACATATTATTCAACGACTTGCTACTTTTATTTAACTTTTTCAACGGCATGCTTTTACATAACTTTTTTTTTACATTGCCCGTCGGTGTGCATGATTCCAGCCAAGCAGGGTTAGTTGCAACAAAAAGCAAAAAAAAAAAAAAAAATTCAAAAGTAAACAGTATTCTCTAGGGATTGACGATCCAACATTATGAAAATGGCAGCTATTTGTTTTTAATGTATCGAATTTACGTCAAAATTTTCTACGTTTTTTGTTTATAGTGTTTGAAATTAATAAAAATTAAGAAATGTTCGATCGTTAATCCCTAGTAAATGTTGCACTAAAGACACGTACCAAGTTTCACAGTAATCGGTTGGTCAGATTCCGAGATATCTTTTGCACACCGTTTCTAAAAACCTAGTTTCGAGAGAAACGCGTTTAAAGTTTCAGAACGTCATTTTTCATACGTATCCTTTATTTACTTTTTCCACTTATATATCGCGGCTCGCAGTTCTTACAATTCACAACTAAATTGAATCCAAGTCCCCTGATACTCGATTCACCAAACGTAACATTTGAATCACACGATTTACACTTTATAATACTGCTTAAAGTTGTAAACAGCGATACAAACTCATCCTGTATCCGCAGATTTATTATTACACCCCAAAATAAGTCGTTTTGAAGGACCCTTTGTATCTTATTTCTAAGACTTCAAACTAATATTTAAAACAAACAAAAAATCGTTTTTTTTTTTTTTTTGACAATTCCGTACTGTCCTGACCCCTTAAATCTGGCACCACCTCGGAGAAACTTTTCAGAGCGTTTCAGGAGACCAGTCTCTTCCTTGACTTGTCCCGCGGACTCGATGATTTTCGAATGTTTGCGATAGAACGCTGTTTGTCGCGAGCGGCAAATATTTTTTAGAGCGTTGACGCTCGGTCCGGAATCGACTTGGCGATTGAAATAGCCGATGGAAATGCTCGTTTCCAAACATTCTGGCACGCTGTGAGGGTGTGGATGGAGGGAGAAAAAAATTCCATACACGTAGATCTAGCTGCAAATATTGTCGACACCTCGGACTAGCTCGGCCCTGGGAAACGCGTAACCGGGGAACGGTGATTTTCAATTTCCACGCGTTCGCGCGTTTGTTTTCGTCACCGGGTGTTGGACGTTTCGTCACCACTTGTTGTGCCGGGAACGTTGATGCTCCCCGATGGAAATCAATAGAGTCCGTGAAACGAGGCGATCTCCTTGCAGAGAGAGCGACCAGTGACTCTGCATTCGTCCAATTATCTCTCGATGTCTCTCTCTCTCTCTCTCTCACACATATACACACACACACAAATTCTATCACTGTTTGTACGCGTGTGTGCGTTCTCTTTTCCACGAAACGAGAGAAGGTTGTGTGTAACAGTGGCACGTGCGTGCATGAGGAAAAGCACAAGAGCAGCGTGTGTATACGCCCCCGTCGTGCGCTCGAGAGAGAATCGACGAGATAGAGCGCGACAGAGAGAGCGTGCGCGGCGTGGTTTATCTTGAAGTACGCGCGATAAAAACCCACTATCGTGGACTCTCGTTAGACCGTGCTGCGTCGCTTTTCGTGGAAAAGAAAGAAAGAAAATCCCGAAAATTCGCTTCGTCCATCGGTGGGAAAATTTCGTTTGCAAGGAGCAAGAACAATCGAATCGCGGCTGTGTTCCAGTTCATTTTGGCCTCTCTCTCTCTCTCTCTCTCTCTCTCTCGTTCTCTCGTTCTCATTCTCGTCCTCGCGCAATCTGTTTCGCCAGGAAATTGTCGAATTCTCTCGTTCTCAGGCATAGCTCACGGTGAACGGAATAATTCGAAATCAATTTATAGCGCGCGACGGCGATAACCAAAAGCTGAGTAAACCTGTTCTCGAGAAAATAAGCGGAGCGACGGACGACGGAGTGGGAGGCAGAAACGTTCTTGTTTCGCTCGTGTTGTCTTCTCGCGCAGTAACCAGCGACCGCGGAACCGTTATACCCAACTATCGTTGCAAGCGTGTATGCAAGAGGATCCTCCGGGGGGGGGGAGGCAGAAGAGGGAGGGAGGGCACGGTCTCGCGATAGAAAAAGCTACGTGGAGGCGAAAGACGGTACGCGAGAAGTCGATAAAAAGGGCGTCGAACTTGTCACGCTCAAGACGCCGCCGGCGCCATTTGCAAATTTCTTCGTTTGCAAAATTGTTCATTCGCCTTTCGTCGTGAGATGGAAAGGCGACGTGTGTGTCTGCGACGAGATAATAAACAAATCGCGTCAGCACAGTGTTCGTCTCTTGTTTTCGATCTTTCGAAAGGACAGATTTTTTCATCGTCACGGATAATATACGCTGCTGGCACGTATGATGGCTACTTCGAACAGTTTTTGGGACTCCCCCCCCCCCCCCGCCCCTCCTTTCTTTTTTTATCGAAACAAGAAAAGGAGAACGTAATTTCTCGCCAACTTGCCCTACGAATTATCTTTTAGTTGTTCCACGGTTAATTGCAGTCT